ATAGGCTGACCGTTGAAAACCAAGGATATTGGCTCGACTCCCACGTACAGCTAAGTTGTTTTGTAGCTCTTCTTAATAAAGGTCAACAACCGGGAGTGACCTCTACCTCCTGCTCCAAAGCAAGCCATTCTCCCATTCCCATGAGTAATAGGTAAGATACGTCACTGTCTGGAGCGTCGGAAAGAGAAAAGAGTGACCTTGAAGGAGCATAACATTACTAAATTGTAAATGCGTTAGGAACCTACTTCTGGTTTGGTTTATTCTTTTTAGATTATAAAGTATTTTCTCCATCCTTTCAGAATGCCTTCTTGTTGTGAAATTTTCACACTCGCACGTATTCGAGTGGTCCACGCTCGAGGTAAGGGCATTGCTCCTTTTTCATGTCTTTCGCTTCACAAAACCTAATGATTCTACAGCACTGACCGAACTAAAAGCTGGTAGACAATAATTCGTCACCACAGTGGTTTGGCGATTGAATCCTCTAATCCCCAGTCGCCCTTCAAAACAGGGAGTATAGTATAAGGTATTCTCTCCCTGCTTCCAGCACGCCTTCGCGGTGTAACAGTATTACACTCCGCGCGTATTCGAGAGATCCAGATTTGTGTCCCGGCAAGGGCATTGCACATTTTTCAAGTCTCCTGCTTTAAAAAAACCCTAATGAATCTACAGGATATAAACACAGAACCTGTATGTGTTTGCCTTGGAAATCGATAGAGCTTTCATTACAATCTACGCCAAACACAAGGTCTTTGTTTTGAATAATTTTATGTTTTACTTCGACATGCTTGTCTTCTCTCTTGATAGACACATTTATTCAGATTTATATCATTTTTAACACGTTTCTTAAAATTAAACAAGAAGTAAAGAAAATGTTGGTAAAGAGAAGTAAACGAGAAGTAAAGAAAATATTGGTATGTAGAGTAAAGATTTTATTTATTTATTTATTTTTACATTTATAAACTAAAATAACAGCTAAATAAACACACCTAACAGATAAATAAATGTCTGATCGTAATCCCCCTTAGAACTTTGAAATACCCCCTAAGAGAAATTCCGTCGAGCTGAGAATCCTTCTATAGTGCATTAAAATAACTACAGTATTAACGCGCGTCCCTCGCTCCACCCAGCTTAGTAGAACAAAGTTCTGAAAATTTTTGATATTCACGTAATTTTTCCTTTCTCAAGAGATCGGAAAACGAGCTTCGCTAAGTTTTAAAACAAAGTCGTTTCCGTGTTTTTTTTTTTTTTTTTTTTTTTTTTTAGTCCAAAGGGATTTGAATCCCGAAGGACTATTAGTTTCGTTTTGGCATTTTGCGTCGGACTCATAAATGTCGGTTCACTTTTCAAACTGTTGCCACAAAATGTTAGAGTCCTGCATTATATTTGAAGAAATTAAATAATGAAAAATCTGCATAAATGTATGTATATTTCTCGTATTGTGATAAAAAAAACGGTACATAGAGTCATCGAATTTTGAATAACGTAATCCTCCAACGAATATGAGCATGTGGAAGACCAAATTTGAAATTTGAAATTTGTTTTATGATCGATTTCCTATTTTTTAAAACTTTGACGAATTTTTGATTAAAACTCAAGGATTTCAAAGCGAGCAATGGCAACGTTGTGCAGAAAAACATTTTTATCTCCAGCGCGTGAGTCTCTGTATCGGAAATTCTAAAGATATGCTCGTTTTAAAACTATTTTGCGATATTGCTGTTGCACTGGATCTTATGTTTTAAGTGCGAGGAACATGATATTTAATAAAGAAAGGTAACACACAAAATGTTAAAAAACGCCCCTTTGGACGTAATTTAAAATCTGAAACATTTCAGGTTTTTTTTTTTTTTTTTTTTTTTTTTTTTTTTAATCTTAGTCTTTGATTTGCTTTAGAAATTTGAATCCATGGGCACTGATAGAGGAAGTAATAATAATGAAGAGCGTAAATAATTGGAGATATTTAATGGTTCTAATCCTTCCACATGAGAAGATTAGACTAAATGGTGAGGAAGGCTCGCAACGGATGACGGAACTCGCAACTCGCAACGGACGACGGAAACGACTCGCAAGCTGTAGCACGATATTGGAGAGTGCTTCAAGGAGCATTAAATTAGCTGAGGATAAAAAATTAAATTAATTAAAATTAATTAAAATTAATTTAGCTGAGGGAGAGATTCAAGATGCAGATAAAATGAAGTACGAATTAAGATATTTGATTAGATAATATAATGTAAATATTACTGCTCCTTCTTATGGAAATTTAGGTTTCTTTTAAATAATGTCGGTCAGAATGGATATTTCTGGTGAAATACACCCGGAAATTTTTACGACTACGTTATTTTCTTTATTTTGCACAAGGATGTAAAAAGTAGATATGATTTAAAAATTCTCGTGAAAAATTTGCCGTGATTAAAAATTGTTTGAATTAAATTATTGGTAGAAATTTATTTCATGAAAGTTCTTACTGAACAAAGAAAACTAAGCTATTAATAGGATGCCTACAGAAAACCTCATTCAACTGTGAATTAACTGTTTTATCAATAGATGACAAATGACGTTCAGGAAAAACCTTCCTAGGTAAACTACTGCTGTCCTTCTTCACACGTCATCTGCTTTCGAAAAGTATGCAGGCATAAAATCATAAAGATCGTCCATAAACATGTCATCAAAGGTAATGCACTCATTTGGATCACTTACATCTTGCGGAAGGTTCATTAGAGCTCATCCGAAAAGCAGAAATGCTTGATCGGAAGTACCGCAGGGTTGTGTTCTCAGCCCATTACTATTTTTATCGCTTAAAAACAGTATTCATCACCACCTACTTGAGGATGCCAAAACTGCGTATTATGCAGATGATACTGCAGTTTGGCATACTTGTTACAATATTAAATGATCCCTTGAATCACTGATTAGTCCCCTGAATGCTGAAGATAAATATGTAAACCTAAGATTGTTAAGTCCTTCTGAAGCCAGATGGAGCTGCCATCGTTACTGTTTACAAAAAGAATGTGAATTACTTTGGAGTTGGCTTCAATGGCGAAGCAGAGAGTGATTGTGGGAGCCTGAGCGTCTTCCAAAAATTAATGTTACAAAGTAGTTTGAAAATTAGTTTAATTGAGAGTTACAGTCCATTTAAAAATCGCCGGACCATTTGAGTGGTCCAGTAGAGCCGCAGAGATATCAGCTAAGTAAATAATCTAGTGTAAAACAGTGAGTTTGCCATTTTGTTTCAATGGAATTTGTGTTTGTGGGATTATAGCCAGTTGCTGAAAAGAAAGGGGTAAGTAAAAAACCCTTTGAAACTCTATTCATTATTAACTGTTGCATTTAGTAAATTCTGAATTAAATTTGTGTGATAATTTGTTATTGATAAGTGTAGCGAAAATGGCTACGAAACTGAAAGATGTTCTCACTAAAAAGAGAACTCAAAAAACTATCTTATCGAAGTTGCAAAAGAAACTTTGTGAGCCAGATTTAAGTGTTAGTGATTTAGAATTGTTAAAAACTAAATTTAACAATCTGCAAAATGAATTCGATAATATTTTTGATTCTATTATCAATTTAAGTAGTGAAGAAAAGATCGAAAAAATCTTCAGAGAGCAAGATGAAATCAATAGTAGTATTATTGATATAGAATTTGAAATAAATAATAGATTGTCGAACGTTGTTAAAGAAAATAAAGTAGAAAATGCAGTAATTTCTGAAAATACTGTTGTGCGTTTACCTAAGATTTCATTACCAATATTTTCAGGAGAAATGCATTCTTGGCTTTCCTTTAAGGACATTTTTAAAGCGAGTATTGATCAAAACCCAAATTTATCAGATGCTGTAAAATTGCAATATTTGAAATCAGCACTGAAAGGAGATGCTTTTAGAATTATCCAAACGATAGCTATAACGGATAATAATTATAAGTTAGCGTGGTCTCTCCTTGAAGAAAGATACTCAAACCCTAGAGAACAAAGTGTATGCTCATCTTAAAAGATTTATGAGTATTCCCGTTATTCAAAACGAGTCAGCTTCTGCGATTCTAAATTTAATTGATGTTACAAGTGAAGTTGTAAGATCGTTAGAATGTTTAGAACAAAAGTTAGATGGGGTTTCATTTGCTACGCTATATTTGCCTTTATTCTTAGCCAGAAACTTGATCAGAATACTAAGTTATGGTGGGAAAGGAATTTAAAGAAAGAAAAAATACCGAACATTACAGAGTTATTAGAATTTCTAAAGGATCACGCGAGGACATTAAACGCTTCTAGAATTCCAGTAATGTCTAAATCAAAAGCTTCAGTAAGTCAATCAAAGGTTTCTTCAATGGTTTCATGTGTGACTGAAAAACGTGCTTTAATTTGTAAACTGTGTAATGTGGAACATAAATTATTTAAATGCCCTAAATTTCAAAAATTCAGCTTAAAGGATAGAGTCGAGTATGTTAAAAGCACAACTTATGTTTCTGCTGTTTTGGAAATCATGGAGTGAGAAATTGCCCTTCAAATTACTCTTGTAGGCTATGCAGAAAAAAGCACAATTCGTTACTGTGTTATGAGCGAGAAAAAGTTTCGATTTCCCAAAATAGAGAGAGTTGCGAAATCGCCTCTCTGTCGGATCAAAAGTCAGACGCCAGTTCGTCTACGGAAGTAGCGAAACTGAACCTCATTTATAAATAAGGATAACGAGTGTTTTATGACAGCTAATGTAAATAAAAATTGTTAATGCAGTTAATAGAGTCCTACTATCGACAGCGATTGTTTATATTAAGGGAAATGAAGGAGAAATATTTCCAGCCAGAACTTGCTTGACAGTGGAAGTATGATTCATCTTTGTTCATCGGAATTAGCTGAGAAGCTTCATTTGCAAAGAGAAAATGTAAACCTATCAGTAGGATGTTTATCTGGGATTTCAACAACGGTGAAATCAAAAATAAGTGCGGTTATTTTAAATAGAGGAAAACACATACAGTCGTAAACTAGATTTTTTTCGTAATTCCGAAAATTACTCATTTGATGCCTTCTAGACAAATTGATGTCTGTAATATTGAGATTCCACAAGGAGTTACGTTAGCTGATCCAGACTTTCACAAACCGGGTAAAATTCAGTTACTTTTAGGATCTGAAATATTTTTCGATTTGATAAGATCCGGGCAAATTTATGTACCAAATACAAATTTAGTGTTACAAAACTCAGCATTTGGGTATTTGGTAAGCGGTAGCATTGAAGATTTACCACATGAGAAACAATTAATGCATTGTGGGTTAATTTATGACAATGTCGAAGCACAGTTGAAGAAGTTTTTTGATTTGGAATCAATTGGTATCAGAGATGATCCCAATTCTTACGATGAAGATAAAGCATTAGAGATATTCAACAAAACTGTTAGTTTCAAAGATGGTCGTTATATTGTTAGTCTGCCTTGGAAGAAACGTTGGGAACATTTAGGCGACAATTTTGGTGTCGCAGAAAAAAGAATAAAAATCCTGATGAGAAAAATGCAGCATGATAATACATTATACCTGAAATATAGAAAACTTTAGAAGAGTACCTAAATCAAGGGATAATAGAAAGAGTATTAGATTCTACGAAACCAGTAAACAAGCCAGTTTTTTATATGCCGCATCAGGCAGTTTATAGAGAAGAAAGCATTACAACAAAAATGCGTATTGTATTTGATGCGAGCTCACATGAAATAGGTAGTCTGTCCCTGAATGATTGTTTGTGGCCAGGTATTAATCTGAATCAAAATATATTTCACTTGCTGATATATTTTAGACTTAATAGAGTTGCAATCTTAGGAGATATCGAAAAGGCATTTTTACAGATCGTGTTAGCTGAGAAAGATCGAGATGCAGTTAGATTTTTATTTGTTAAGAATATTGATACACCTTTGCAGAATACCGACGATCAGCTAGAAGTGTGTATAGATTTAAGCGTGTGCTCTTTGGTGTTAATTCCAGTCCTTTTTTGTTAGCGGCAACTATAAAGCTGCATATCCAAAAGTACAGAAATGTGTATCCCGATACCTTTCAAATTCTTGATACATGTATGTATGTTGATGATCTTGTTACAGGAGCAGATGATGTATCAGAAGCCTTAAAAACTTCAAGGGAAGCAAAGGAAATTATGCGTGGAGCTGGGATGAATCTACGCAAATGGGTGACGAATGATTATCATTTAGCTAAAAAATGGGAAGAAGAAAATTTTGATATTCATCCCCTAAGCTCAAATGAAAAGATACTGAAGGTATTAGGAATTCAATGGAACATTCAGGAAGATAGTTTGAGTATAGAGACTTCTTGTTTGACGAAAATTTCGAGGAGAAAGAAAAGTACCAAACGCTTCATCCTCCAAACAGCTGGAAAAATATATGATCCTCTTGGACTCATCACACCATTCACTGTTAGAATAAAACTTTTACTACAAAAGCTATGGTTACGTAAATTACCATGGGATTCTGAGCTTCCTTCTGATTTGAACGACGAGTGGTCTCGGTGGTGCAGCGAGCTTTCAGAGCTTAGTAACATTAGTGTTCCAAGATTTGTTTTGGATTCAAGTGATGAAAATATAGAGATCCATGTTTTTTCTGACGCAAGCCAAAAGTCGTATGGTGCAGCCGTTTACATAAAAGTACAGAATCGAGAAAAAAATTTCTGTAAATTTGCTGGCTTCCAAGAGCAGAGTTTCACCTGTCAAAAAAGTTTCCTTGCCTTGACTTGAATTGCTAGGTGCATTGATTGCTGCAAAATTGGGAACGGAAGTTAAAAAGGTTCTAGATCGTAAAGGTTCATCTAATATCTTTTTTTGGAGTGATTCTAAAGTTACACTGTATTGGATCAAAGGATCAAGCAGGAGATGGAAGACTTTCGTTCAAAATCGCGTCGACGAGATTCAGAAGTTGACTAATCCAGATTCATGGTTTTATTGTTCAACCAAAGACAATCCAGCCGATCTTCTAACGCGTGGAGTTAGTGCCTCTTCTCTAGTGAACAATTCTAAGTGGTGGACTTGTGCAGAATTTTTTACAGAGCCGAATCTTCCCTACAAGTGCTTAGAACCAATAGTTCCAGAGGTTGAGAACCTAACACCAAGTGAAAGGGAATCCTTTGTGCAAGAAAGCAAAAGTTTGAGTGACATTAATGACATTTCTGAGAGAACTATGTTGATTGACATGAACTCTAACGTTTTAGACGAACTCTTGAATATTAGTAACAATTATTATAGAATGATTAATGTTCTTTCTTATATTTTTAGGTTTATTTGTAATTGCAGGAAAGGTGAATCAAGAAAGGTAGGCCCTCTTCAACTAGAGGAGGTAAGAATAGCTGAGGAAATGCTTATTAAGCATGAGCAGAAGGTTCTATTTTGTAAAAAGGACATAACAGGTAACTTAAAAAATTTACATCCCTTTGTTGATCGTAAAGGAATAATTCGCGTTGGTGGCCGTCTTGAAAAAGCTTCTTTACCATTTTCTCAGAAATATCCTGCAATCCTACCAAAAAATTCTAAGCTAAGTAAGATTTATTTTTCTAGTGTGCACAGAAGATTATTGCATGTTGGCCCCCAAGGATTATTGAATGCAGTACGTTTAAAATTTTGGCCATTAGGTGGTAGAGATTTGGCGCGAAAAACAGTACATCTTTGTGTGACATGCTTTAAATGCAAACCGATTTTGTCTTCACAGATTATGGGCAATTTGCCATACGAGAGAGTTAATAGATCACCCCCATTTAGTGTTTCAGGTTTGGATCTATGCGGTCCCTTTTATGTGACTTACAAGCATCAGAGAAAGGGCGTGCTAAATAAAATTTACATTTGTGTATGTATATGTTTTGTGACACGAGCTATTCATCTTGAGCCTTTGTCAGATTTAACTTCTAGTGCTTTAATTGCCACTCTTAAGCGTTTCATGGCCAGACGTGGCAAATGTGCGAAAATATTCACTGATAATGCCCCTAATTTTGTAGGAGCAAATTCTCTGTTGAAGAAATTTTACAATGTAATTAATTTTCCTGATAAAACTTTGGCCTCATATTTCACGTCCGAAAGAATAGACTGGAACTTTATACCTCCCAAGTCCCCTCATTTCGGAGGGCTATGGGAAGCCGGTGTAAAGTCCGTAAAGTATCATTTAAAGAGAACGATAGGAAATTTGCGTTTTACATATGAGGAGTTTGAAACCATAATTGTGCAGGTAGAAGGAATACTAAATTCGAGACCTCTTACACCTATTTCCAATGATTTTGATTGTTATGACGTTTTGACCCCAGGTCATTTTTTAATAGGGAGATCAATACAGACGATTCCGGAGCCAATGATAATAGACGTAAATGAAAATCGGTTAAGCCGGTGGCAGAGAACAACGAAAGTAGTTCAAATTATTTGGAAGAGAAATGGTCAAATGACTATTTAGGAACTCTGCAGCAGAGAAAACAAGTGGATGATAGAGAAGGACAATATTTCTGTTGGTACTATGGTACTCGTCAAGGAGGATTATCTGCCAATTTGCAAATGGATATTAGGTCGGGTTATTAAAGTCTATTATGGATCTGACAATAAAGTAAGAAAGGTTAAAATCAAAACAAATTCAGGAGAATTGAAAAGAGCGATAACAAAGATCGCCGTTCTTCCGATAGAAAACTGAAATGATATTTTTGCATATGTATTGTATTCTTATAGTATTGTTAATAGCTGTAGTTATAGTAATGGTATATTATGTTGTTTATAAGCATATTAACTTTGTTTAAGAATGTTTGTATAATTTCTTGAAATTTTGTAATTTCAATCCGGGGGAGTGTTAAGTTTCTCTGAAGCCAGATGGCGCTGCCATCGTTACTGTTTACAAAAAGAATGTGAATTACTTTGGAGTTGGCTTCAATGGCGAAGCAGAGAGTGATTGTGGGAGCCTGAGCGTCTTCCAAAAATTAGTATAATAATAATAAAGATATGTTACAAAGTAGTTTGGAAATTAGTTTAATTGAGAGTTACAGTCCATTTAAAAATCGCCGGATCAAAGATCATGTGTCAGATCTTATTACCTTATTTTCTCTCTTCTTTTATTAATTTTATAGCCTGAAAATCGATAGTGGAAAACTGGGCGAGTATTTAATATTCGATGCTTGTAATTATAATAAGACTGTAACAAGTGAAAAGTAATTATGAATGAAATATAGGTAATGATAACAATATTATTATCAGGTAACTATCACAATATTGTTTCTTTAAAAGAAACCTAAATTCTAATAAGAATACATAGAAAAATTAGCATTACATTACCTAATAAGCAAGTTTCACTTGAACTTGCTTGTAACTCGAATATCGTCAGCTGTTATAGTTTTCCATTGCTGCCCACTGCTTCCTTGGGCTTCAAATCATCCACAAATAGTTAGAGAAGATGAATGTGCAGCCGACTCGGTGACATTGCAGACTCATTGTCAGTTCGTGTTCGCTCTGCTGTGATGGGTCGGTTCTTGTATTAGGCTAGCATAGAATTGAACAATTGGAAGGGAAAGCTGCCAGATATCCCTCACAGGTAATTTGGGACGGTTTATTTTTGTTAAGACGAAATCAGTCACTAGTCGGACGAATCTTTTCATTGAACACATTGAGGAAGGGGAAAATTACGCGAATATTTTATAAATTTTTAGGAAAATGTGCTAAAATGCTAGCGGGAGAAATAAGAGAGTGGGAGATATACGCAATAAAATATGTTTCACATACATTCATAATCCCAATTTTAGGTGTTAAGCTCATAGATAGAATACACCGATTTTGCATTGCAGCAACTATATTAAATGTAGATATACTGATGACAATTACAAAGCATAACATTTTCGTAAATGTATTTGTTAAGACTTACTCAAATAGAAAATTAGGGACCGCTGCCTTAACTGCTGTAACAAAGACATCTTGAAATTTCCGAATCTAAACCAGGATTTTTGTAGTTAGGAAAGGCGGTACCCAAAACATATTGGTCATTTATCATGAAGGAAATAATGCGCTAATTATTCCAGGAAGCTTTTTCTCAAATTATTAACAATTAGTTTACTTCACCTGATTACTTTTATATGTAAGAATTCCAAATAGTCATGATCCATACTAATGCTTTTGTTTACTTTCGTATAACAAATAAACGAAACAAAAAAGGGGAAAAGAAAAAATCTAAATTTAAATAAATTTTAACGTAGTACAGGATTTGCAAAGGTTTTTTGTGCTCTCGTTGAGCATCGTTACCAGCAGGTTACCAGTCTGCTCTTAGAGTCACACCTAAACAAATTTTAACGTCGCACAGCATTTCCCAAGGTTTTTTATGCTCTCGTTGAGCATCATTACCATCAGGTTACCAGTGTGCTCTTGGAGTCACACCTGTTAACAGTTTTTTTTTTTTTTTTTTACTTTTAGCTTTATTATTGAGAATCGCTCTCCCCTTAAGCAACATACAGTTCAAGAGCAAAATCGCAAAATATACAAACGCACATCTCTAGAACTGCCCACAGATTGTTTCTGTTTGCCATGCTTTTATTTTATTTTTAGTCCAAGGGGACAATTTGCCCAGAAGGACTTTCAATTTTGTTTTGGCATTTCGCGTTGATTCACTTTCTGCGTTGTTTCACTTTTCAAATTGTTGCCACCAAATATTATAGCCCTGTATTTTAGTTAAAAATTTAAATAGTGAAGAATTTGCATAAATGTACGTATGTTTCTCACACTGTGATAAAACAACGGTACCTAGAGCCATCAAATTTTGAATAACGTAATCTTTCACTGAATATGAGCATCTGATAGCCCGAATTTGGAATTTGTTTTATTATCGATTTCATATTTTGTAAAACTTAAACGAATTTTTGATTCACAAACGAAATTCTATAGGTATGCTCATTTTAACATTATTTTTCGATATTGCTCTTGAACTGAATTTTATGGTTTAAATGCGAATAACATGATATTTAATAAACAAAGGTAACACACAAAACGTTTAAAAAAAAAAAAAAAAAAAAAAAAAAAAAAAACCACCCCTTTGGACGTAATTTAAAATTTGAAACTTTTCAGATTTTTTTTTATTATTTTTCTTATTTTTTTTAATCTTTAAACCATTATTTCTTTGAAATCTAGTGTTGTTCTATGCATTGTTTACAAAGTATCTTGATAAGCTGGCGCAATTGGCAACGTGGCCCGAGCTTATCGAGGTATTCGTTAATTCATGCCCTATCGTATTTCTACTGTCATTTTTTCCCATGCCTGACGTACTAAATATTATATTAGTATACCAAGTTCTCTTGCATTATCAGTTTATACGGCAATTTAAACCCGAAGACAAACACATTGCCTTAGTCACAAGTTACTCTCAATATTTTCAGCTACATTCTAGGGAAATATGGAAGGTATATGAATTGATGTTCAGGAATCTAAATCTAAATCTAAATCTCATTCTTAGCAATTTGCATTTTCCTAATATCGACAATTTCTTCCACAAGCTTCTAAGGTTCTTATTTCATTGTATAAGAAATCATGACATGTCGCACTACTAAAACTTGAATTGTTTGAGAAAATTTTTACAACAATAATTGTCCTATTTAAGCCTCTAGGTATGAGAAGCATATTCAGTTCAATACATATGGGGTGTACTGGAGCAATAATTCTTACATGGCGGTCACTCAAATGATTTAAAGTAGATAACCTGTTAATAAAGTGTTAGGATTTGGTATCACCAGATATCTTAAGAACTCTCACATGGAAAGGATAAATATTATTTTAAAAAACGCGTAGAATTCGAATTCACTATAATGAACATTTAATAATTAGGTTTGAATATTTTGATATGCCCTCCCACATTGCTTTTCACTCAGCTGGAGACGAGCAATAACAGACACATTTATTTTAGTCATTTTATGTCGATTCACATATGTTCCTGTTCAAATTCAAGTTCGAAGATTCAAACAATTGTAGTAAGGAAATTATATTCTTCGACTTAAAAGCGGTCACGTTTTAGGTGAGTAAGTATGCAGGAAAAAAACAACATTTCAGGCTGCTTCTTTTGAATACAGAATTCTAGAAAAGCAGCCGTTTTTAGCAGGATTATAGTAACACGTTCGATAAACCCTGCCATTTTATTATCGATCTATACTACACACACGAATTCAATGAACATGTTACCTAATCTAGATAAAGAAATTGAATTCTGTCCATTCTTTTCGTCATCTTCCGGTACTGTACGTGATCGCGTCGGTATATCTAAGAAATAAAATTTTAGATACCACTTCTTCGATATTACTTTCCATTTTTGTCCATCTCAAATAATAAAAATTGCATATTTTG